TTTTTAAAAAATCTCTTGAGACTAATAAGAGCTCAAAATCTTGTGTCAGTAACCCAAGTAACTTATGTTAGATCTAAAACTATTTTGAGTCTACTTCCTATTAACCCTTACCTAGTCCTGCTTATACTTTAAAAAAAGTATAAAAAGAGGAAAATAGACATTATAATTCTCTTATAAAGAAAGTGAATGTTAAGGTTATGAGTTTCCCTCCCAGCCTCTCATATCTTTTTTTTTGTTTCAAAGTAATACCCAGACACCTAACCTAGCCCATTTCAGGAAAGTATTTTCATTACCCAAGAATTAAAAAAAAAAAAAAAAAAGAGTAATCTGGGCACTAAATAGAAAGAATTAAAGTCTTAGCAAACCTAAAGCAAATTTGTAAACTTACACAAGGTCAAATGTGAATGCTAAATGTTGGAAGTGATCATGGTTTTAAAAAAGTTTCTTATAGTCATCAAAATGAAAACTATAAAAAATAAGTACATCTCTATAAATTCTTCAAATTAACATAAGCTAAAATATTCTGAAGTTGAGGCTTCCTCAATTGGTGATAAAAATATAGCTTAAAAAAAACTATTTCGCTGCAGGCATGCACGCACACACACGCGCACACACACATTTGTCAAAGTTAGGGACTAAAACAGGGGTGGGCAAACTTTTTGACTCGAGGGTCACAGTGGGTTCTTAAACTGGACCAGAGGGCCGGAACAAAAGCATGGATGGAGTGTTTGTGTGAACTAATATAAATTCAAAGTAAACATCATTATATAAAAGGGTACGGTCTTTTTTTTTTTTTAGTTTTATTCATATCAAATGGGCCAGATCCGGCCCGCGGGCCCTAGTTTGCCCACGGCTGGACTAAAAGGACCCATAAAGTAAAAGGCCCCAGGCAGGGGTAGAGGAGTAGCAGAGAGTGGGTCAGATAATTTGGACTCTCTATCCTGAAGAACAGCTAGAACCACTGAATCCACATCCTGTAAGTTTCTAGTTAATATCTTTCCACAACCCTACTGTAGCACAGTGAATGAATGGGACTTAAGCAAGCTGTCCAACAGTGTTCTCCTGCTTCTCCTACTGATCTAAATCTCCTTTGTTGAGTTTACCTCATCTGATCACACTCTGGACTCAACCACCTCAGGGTTCAATTCTCCCACATTTTCTCTTCTGTTTGCACACTCACGGATTGGGTGATTTCATACATCCCATAGCTTTAAATACCCTCTACATGTTGTCAACTTCTAAATTTATATCTCTAGTCCCATCTGCTACCCCTGACTTTTCTGGACTCATATCCAGCTGCTCCCTAGGCAAGGTTACTTAGATACCCAGTAGGCATCTAAATAGATTCAAACTTGTAACTATTTCTTTCCCATCTCCTTCCTCACCTCAATAAATGGCAACATCTACCAGCTGTATTCTTTTTTCTTTTTAGTACTTACCACCATCAGACATAATTTGTTTAATGCCTATTTCTCCCCAGGAGAATGCAAGCTGCACGAACAGTTATTTCTGTCGCAATATATGAGGGTTAACGGGGACTAATTTAGGCTGTATGGAAAATGCAGGCCCCAGAGGTGATCTATGGGGTAAAGTCTGAATGACAAGATGAAGCCAATGGGACGATGGGATCAGGATGTTCAGGGCAGAGGACATGACAATTACAAAGGTCTAAGTCCCAAAGAAACTTGTAGGGACACATTAGGAGAAACTAAAGCCCCTTAAGCTGGAGAACAGGGAACCAGAGGGAGACTACTGAGAAGAAATGAGGGAGAGAGTAAGGTTCCAGGAATTCAGGGAAAGAAAATGTCAAGTTCAAAGGCCAGGAGGCAATTGAGTCAAATTCAGTATTTCAATACAAATAACAAGAAGCAACAGAGACCTCTTCCAGAAGGACTCAACTAAGACTTTATGCTTCTTTAGGTGGTTCTGTTGGTATGTTGGTATCCGAAACAAATTATTTTCCTAGTAGTTTATCTGATTCACTTTTTTGCTGTGTTAAAACTAGGCATTTTTAGTTGGCTTTAGCAGAATTTTTTTTTTAAGAAACTCAGTTAATAAAAAGCTAAAAGGTTCCATTTCTTTAAAAAGGCCAATATTTCTTTGGTCTCTCTCTTTTTTTTTTTTTTTTTTTTTGGCAAATTGCCTTTTTAGGTCACCCAGATGATATATTATCTAATTATGATAACTCATTGGTGACATGAGAATTTGTTTAAATTGTTAAGTGTCCTCTTTCATCTTCTTGAGCTTTTATTTTTGTTTTGTCACTGCTCTAACATACTTAGGTTTTGGTCAAATTCAATCATATATGTCATGATTTATCACTGAAAAACATAGGCTTTATAATGAATTATAGAACTCCTTTACACTTTCCCAGTATATTTTCTTAAAATATCCTACTTCTAAAATGAATCACTAATTTTTAAAACACAAATTCTACAAGATCTGCTACCAGCTAATTCTTCAGTTGTACTAACATCATGTGACTAAAAGTGTTGATTAATTACTCCAATATTTAGAATTGTGTGTTATTGATTACTTTTATAGAACCTTTGTGGAAATGCAATTAGGCTTTTATCTATAGAGGTTTTTCCTCATTATTTTGCATTCTTTATTTCAGACCTTCTCTGAAACAACAGGAAAAGCAAGAAAAACCACAATATGACTTCACCCATTAATGAAGGATTTCTTCCTTGCCCCAACATGAGAAATATGGCTAAAGGCAAAAATGATGAATTCTGAAACACCAGAATTGATCTAATCCCCATCTCCATGGCTTTTAAGACACTCAACCCCATTCCTCAGCTATTTCTTCTCCTTGGTCTTTGTCTTTTATCCTGTGATCATATTGGTCATCATATTGGGTGTCTCAAGATCCTGCTCATAAAACATCTAAATCTCTGAGCTCAGCCTTCTTGATTCCTAAGGTCTGACTTTCCACTCAGCTACATCTTAACTTCATTATCTAGATCAGCTCCATTGCCAAGTTCAGTATGTTTCAACTCCCACTCCTAATAACAACTTCCGTGTCCTCTCTCAAAATCTTCTCCTCTGTCAATAGTGAAACTTCAACATTAATAACTAGTCATGCTTGTCCTCTCTGCTTTCTTTTTTTTTCCAAATACATTTTATTGATTTTTAGAGAGAAAGGAAAGGAGAGGGAGAGAGAGGCAGAAACTGTTCTAAACTATTTCTACAAACTCCTCTCAGAGTAAATGACGACTTCTTCCTAACATTCTTTCCACCTGCCCAACCAACTGTCCAAACGTCTCCGTTTTAACCAATCATCTCTTCCTTATCTCCCAGCTCAGAGGAAGAGCTTTCCCCCAGGTGCCCATAGGTCTCAGTGCTATAAGAACATTCCCTTGGCTCTTTTCTCCCCTGCAAGCTACAACACACTTTCCCACACTCTTCAACTAACACATTTTCTAAAATGATAGCTCACACTAGTTGGTTTATCGCTCTTCTGCATTACTTGTACAGGATCTGATCACAACCTCACTCACCCAGAACTGAATATTCCCCTGGCTTCCATGCCATTTCCAACTCTTTATTTACACATATCTCTAACCATTCTTTTCCTGTTTCCATCAGCATCTGCTCTTCTGGGCCATAATGCACTCACTACTCACATCTCCCCACGGAAATTCAACTTCTATTATGTAACCTCAGACAGCTGGAGTGAGGATTATGTATAAAGTACATGAAAGTGTCCTAGTTAGCCTCAAGACTCCAATCAAAGTCACCTCCACTTGTAGTCCAGATCACGTTGTATGGCTCTCTCTCTGATACTGAGACCAGACCCTGGCAGGGTAGGCTTATGTTTCCTAAGGAAATATGGTTACCCCTTCTCCCTGATATTTCTTCCACACCTCATCTCTTTGTCAACATGGCCGCCAAATTAATCTCTCCCAAATCCCATACTGATCCTCTCATTTGCTATTCAAAAATTTCTAGCCATTGCTCTCCCTTACCCATTTAGCAAATGACACCAAACTGTGCTGCATTTCTAGCACATTTAGTCCACATTTGAGTTTACATGTTTACCTATAATTCCCCAACACGATGCTGAAGTATAGTGATATCAGAGGTGATGTCTTAAAGGAATGTGTAGCCCTCACTGTAACTGACAATCAACATCTTCAGCACTGCTCACATTTATTATGTGCCAGGTATTACTTTACAACAATCCTTGGGGTATATCATACTATTTTTTCCATACACATAGAGAAAGACTGGGTCATAGACAGGGACCTTCACAGAAATTTGAACATAATGGGTATAAAATTATATTTGTAAATGGATAAGTATATTACTAATAACCAAGCATTGATACTGCCACATAAATTAATCCATCAACCTGGAATGCATTCCCTTTTTTTCCAAGCCCAGCAAAATCACCCCAGCCTTCAACACCCAATTCATGAATTGCCTTTAATACTTGTAATGTGTCTTTATTATAACATTAAGGTTATTTAGATGTTTGCTTAATTAGAATGGATTTCATAATGGCAGTTTGTTCAATATATTTTTTAAAATATATTTTTATTGATTTTTTTACAGAAAGGAAGGGAAGAGGGATAGAGAGTTCGAAACATCGATGAGAGAGAAACATCGACCAGCTGCCTCCTGCACACCTCCTACTGGGGATGTGCCCCCAACCAAGGTACATGCACTTGACCGGAATCAAACCTGGGACGTTTCAGTCCGCAGGCTGACGCTCTATCCACTGAGCCAAACCGGTTAGGGCAAATGTTTTTAATTATAGGAAAAATTAACTGGAAAACAAAATGGATGTAATTTGATTATGTTGAAAAATGAAATAAGTAGAAATGGCTTATCTTATTAGCAATATTTGATCATCATACAACTTTTTTCTTTAACATTTAGTACATGCATCACATTATAAGGTCTACTATGGCTAAGCCTAATTTAAAAGGTCTATTCTTTTTTTAAAAAATCCAAACAAAGTGTTATTCTTAAGAAATGAGTATCAGACTTACCAGTCTTCTCCTTTCTTCTTCTACTGTGATGAGTAGTCTTGCAAATTCTTTTAGTGACTGAGCTATTTAAAAGACAAATTTTAAAAAGAAGTATTAACCTCTTTTCATTGCTAATATCTAACTGCATAGGAACAAACATTACAATGAAACTAGTTATAAATTTGTACTTATTCTATAGATTTATGTTTTTATAACCATAACACAGTATATACAATAGAATCTCAATGAATAATGGCTATAGATAAGATGTTTGTATGCCACAAAGCAAAGTTAAGCACATAGCAAGTACAATATTTTTTTTTCTTTAAAGACACTAGGGGAATATAGTTTATATATTTAATATATAAAACTCTCACATTAATAAATAGAAATATAGTACTGGAATCACCTCTAAACAGAATATTACAAATAATGAAAAGCATATTAAATCTATAAGAAACAATAAATCCAGTACTATTTAGATGTACTTAGTAGCAGCCAGTAATACAAGGGCTCTCACTGCCATCTTTATAGAAGTTCAACAAATGTTGAATTCTTCCTATATCTACAATATTTTAAACCTTTGCTAGTCAGTGTTGTGGAATGACCACCAGATTCAGCACTTGGGAACTTATTAAAAATACAAACTCTCAGGCACAACCTCAGAATCTATATTTTAACAAAATCCCCAGGTGACCTGTTTGCATATATGTTGGCATGCACTGCTTTAGAAAATTATCGGACCTATATTGCCCTAGCCTGAGGAAAGAATCAAGTATTCAGAAACTTTAAAAGAACAAACCAAAAATAAATAAATAGGGACTTACAGTGGTCTATTCTTTTAAAATGCATAGTTCCAAATGGCAAGTGTGAAAAGTAATTTATCCACATCAATTTTTGAACCTTATACTTAATATGAACTATTAACTAAAATAAAATGGTTTTGTTACAATACTAAGGACACAGATAAGATAAATGCAAATTTTATTTTCATTTAACCTGTGAACCTTCCCTTCTATGCCCCTACTCTTTAGGCTCTCCCCATCCCCTTCCTTAGCCCATACTAATATTGAAAACAATGTGCGAGACCAGAAGTCTGGCCCCAAGCTCACAATAAAGGCAAGTAAGTCAGGAAAACAAAGCAAGAGTCACATTAACAGAACTTATTAAGGAAGAGAAAGAATGCTTTCCACTCAAGAATTTAAAAGGGCAGTACCTCCCAGCAGGCTCCCAGATGTCTGCAGGGAGTGCACGCTGCCAGAGTGAGCTCCCTCACCAAGCCACCTCACCAGTCCACTGGGACCCAGTGTCTTAGGATCTGGCTCCAAGCCCCCACAGTGAGTGCAATCCAGGGGGAACACTGTGCCCCACCCCCACCCTGGACCCAAAACCATACTGCTAGCCTGATCAGGAGACACCCAGTGCCCACTCCTCCGCGAATCCCGGGACCTGCTACCAGAGTGACCTGGAGCAACCCAGAGCACAACCTACTCTGGGCCATAGGAGAGTGGGGACTGTGTGACCCAGAGCAACTGGTGCCTGCTCCACCCCGGCTCCCTGGACATCCTTGCTGGGGTGACCCAGAGCAACCCACACCCGCTTCACCCCAGCCCAGAGGGATGACCAAGAGCAACGCAGCACACATCTCACTCAGGGCCACAGGGGAGCTCAGACTGTGCGATCCAGAGCAACCCACACCTGCTCCACTCCGGCCCCCAGGACAGTCCTGCCGGGACCATCCAGAGCAACCCAACGTGCACCTCATTCAGGGTGACAGTAGAATGTGGACTGAGCAACACAGGGTAACCCGCCCCCAATCCACATTGAGGAGGGGAAAACTGGAGCAAGACAGTAAGTGTCTCACTCCGGGCTACAAGAAAGTGAGGACTGAGTGACCCAGAGCAACCAGCACCCACTCCACCGCGAGCCCAGGGTCTTGCTGCTGGAGCAACCTGGAGTAACCCAGCATGTGTCCCACTCAGGCCACAGGGGAGCTCTGACTGTGCAACCCAGAGCAACCCGCACCCGTTTCTCCCCGACCCCTTGGGCAGTCCTGCAGGAGCTACCTGGAGAAACCCAGCACACACCTTACTCTGGGCCATAGGAGAGCACTGCCAGGCAGCCTGGAGCAAGCCAGTGTGCCCAGACAGGGGCCACAGGACCACATTGCAAAAGCACTGCCAGAGGGACCTAGGGTGCCACCCTGCCACGGGTTCTGGGGCCACACAGAGAATCGCATGCCAGAGGGTTCTGGGTCCTCACAGGGAGTCGAACACCAGAGGAACTGTGCACATGATCCCACCACCCTGAGCATCTGAAGCAGACAACTGAGGAACCAGATCCGTGGGAGAAGGGAATACAACTAAGAGCAGAGACAATAAAGGCATGAGACACAAGGCAGACCCAGCCTCTGGGCTAATGATTTCTGGACCATTGCCCTGATAGGGTCTTCAACCTCTCAAACCCCAAGCAGGGTGCCCAGGGCCAGAAAGACACAGCAAAAATGGGGAGACAAAGAAACAACCCCCACAAAGAAAGAAAAGGCGGCCTCACCAGCAAAGTAACTAAATGAAACAGAGGCATGCAATATGTCAGAAAAAGAGTTTAGAGTAAGGGTCATGAAGTTCATAAACCGAATGGAGGAGAAAATCAAAACTTATGTAAGAATCAAAACTTTGAGGAAATAATAACAGAAAACTTCCCTGATTTGGGGGAAGAAAAAAGTCACACAAGCACAGAGAGTCCCAAACAAGATGAACCCCAAAAGACCCCCACCAAGAAACCCTGTAATTACAATGGCAAACGTTAACGACAGAGAATCTTAAAGGCTGCGAGAGAGACAGAGAGTTACCTACAAAGGATTCCCCATTAGAGTATCAAATGATTTCTCAACAGAAACATATCAAGCCAGAAGGGAATGGAATGAAATATACAAAGTGATGCAAAGCAAGGGACTGAATCCAAGAATACTCTATCCAGCAAGGCAATCATTCAAAATAGAAGGGGAAATCAGGAGCTGAGCAGACAAAAAAAAAGGCTAAGGGAGTTTATCACTACCAAACCAGCAATGCAAGAAATGCTAAAGGGATGTTGTAAAAAGAAGAAATAAAAAGGGAAGAAGAAACACAGGTACAAAAATAAAAAAAAGTCCACAAACAAGTACTTACAAATAGTAACTAAACATAAATGGACTAAATGCTCCAATCAAAAGACATTAAGTGGGCCCTGACCGGTTTGGTTCAGTGGATAGGGCATTGGCCTGCGGACTGAAGGGTCCCAGGTTCAATTCCAGTCAGGGGCATGTACCTTGGTTGGGGGCACATCCCCAGTATGAGGTGTGCAAGAGGCAGCTGACCGATGTTTCTCTCTCTCTGATGTTTCTAACTCTCTATCCCTCTCTCTTACTCTCTGTAAAATTCAATAAAATATATTTTTTAAAAAATACATCAAGTGGCTGAATGGATAAGAACATATGACCCATATATATGCTGTCTACAAGACACCCACCTCAGAACACAGACTGAAAGTGAAGGGATGGAAAAATATTTTTTAGGCAAATGGAAATGAAAAAAAAGCTGGGGTAGCAATACTTATATCTGACAAAATAGACTTCAAAGTGAACGCCATAACAAGAGATAAGGAGGGCCACTTCATAATACTGAAGGGATCAATACAACAAGAGGATATAACTCTGGTAAACATATATTCAGCCAATGTAAGAGTACCCAAATACATTTTTAAAAAATAATAATAATTTAAAGTCCAATCTAGGATTTTTTTTTTCTTCCTCTTTTCAGAACTGCTAGGTTTACAGTAAACTAAGCTGGTTTGAAATGCTATCCCTACCCATTACTTCACATCAAGTTTTATTCAAAGTTACCAAAACAGAAATCAAAGGATTACCTGAGAATCAGATCAATCTTTTAAACACATTAATGGCCTTAGAGTAGAATTACTTTTTTAAAAGTTTTAATTTCTGCAAAAATAACTCTACCAATGTTACAATGTAACCCAGTTTTGACAATAGTAAGTTGAACAGAAAACATTTTCAAATATATGGATTTTAACTGGAGGGCATAATAACATATTCTATTTTTGTTCTATTGGCATCTATGGGTAAAGAAAGCATTCCATCATCATTCTGGCAGCTATCTACTGCTGCTGAAGATCTCTTTTGGTGAGGCTAAAAGAAATCGCAACCAACTTTGGGTTAATGTTGACAGAAGACATCAACATGCCTAGGAAGAAAGAATCTAAGAGATAAGTCAGTTTGGGCTACAGGAAATGGAGGCAGCTGGTACTCCTGAGGGTGATAAAACAAGAGGAGATGGAGAGAGATAGTTGAAAGTAAAGAAACACTTTAACCCTACATTTCTCTTGATTCCTCCTAAACTATTGAGTTATTATTAAAAAAAAAAAAAAAAAAAAAAGGAAAAGAAAACCTTACCAGCGCATGCTTCCCTAATTGGCACCTATTGGATGACACACTCTAACAAAACATGGGCCAAGAGAAAAGGTTATGGAATCTAGAGATAGTAGCCCAATACAGAAAAGAAGCAAATGGAATTCTCAAGGTGACACAGCTGTATAGTCCAGGACAACAGTTGTACAAAAGGCCAAGAGAGGATCTTCGGAGCACATACAAGAGACAACCAAAGAATGCATAAATAAGTAGAACAGCAAATTGATAACTCACTCTCTCTCTCATTCTCTCTATCTCTCTCTCTTTTTTTCTCTCTCTCCCCCTCATTCTCTGGGGGGGAAAAAAAAATCAATACAAAAAAAAAAAATAAAGAAGTAGCAAGAAGCAAGATAGTTATGATCTTTACAGCAATGGGAGAAATGGCTAAAAGTTCAAAATGGTTTTTCTGGGGAATTAAGTGGTGGAGAGTGGTAAGATACAGGATACCTTTTTAAATAAAAAATAAAAATAAAACAAGCTATTAATGCTTCATTTTCCCACTGGCCTAAATTCTGGGAGGGCATAGATCACATACTATTAATTTTCCCAAAGAGCTAAGTAAATATCCAGCACACAGAAGCCTGTCAAGTGGTATTTTTGAAATAAATAAAAATATAGCCT